TATGCCATAAACACTATTTTTATTGTTGACTGTTGAAACCAGTGATACACAGGCTTCTTCAGCCCACAGAGGAGATCTTTGCATTTAAAAAATTCACATTTCCAGCTTCTTGAAAATGTGAAAGACGAAGCATCACAGAGCCGGCTCTGCCACAAAGCAACAATTGTCAGGAGCTGAGAGCCGATGGCGCTCTCCAGTTTATCAAAATTCCACTCGACATTCTTTACTTATTACAATGCCGTGCGTGGCTCCTGTCGGCGATCGCTGAGCATTGTGTCATTATAGTCTATAGCAACTCCGTACTACAGGAATTATTGTCCCCAATTTCTAGGTGAGAAAACTGAGCCTTAAAGAAAAATAACGATTCCAGGCACTTACTGAGCACTTCGTAGGCCAGGCTCTGTGCTAAGCTAACCCCCATTTTACAGATGTGCAAAGTGAGGCTCTGAGATGTGATGCCACTTGCCTGTGGTTACAGATGGAGCTGGCATTTAAAACCAGACTTCATACAGTGGAGCTGACCCCTCCCACCACCTCCACCCCCCGTCCACAGCTCTCACCTCCTGACTCCCCGCTTCAGGGCCCAGCCTACAGCCCCACACGGGCAAGCCTGAGGGGCATGTGCAGACAACAGGGGCTGCAGCTGGCAGCCTGGGGGGTCAGCAGTCTGACCTGGTCCGGAAGGCAGAAGCAGCGGACTTAGGGAGACCTCCTGGCTCCCACAGAAATAAGCCAAGAGACATGATTAACTGCTCGAGTAGGAAGATCCAATAAAGCCAAAGACTCCACACCCAGGGATAAGAAAGCTAATTACTGCAGGAAAGGTCTCCTTTCCAACATGGAAATTACCCCCGGTCTCACATGGACTCACATCGCCACATGCTCCCCGGGATTCGGCTCCCTTCGGAACTGATATATTTATATATATATGTACATGCATTTTCTTGTACAGAAATGTTAAATCCTCAAGATTAAGTATCTTCGGTTGGGGAAAATCAATTTACTCCTTTGAAAAGGCTGCAGTTGAAAGTCGTGAGCCTGAAACTTACTTTCTTGCCAATTTTACTGATAAAAAAGTCTCTTCATCCTGGCACATCTCCCTGAATGGCTGCTCCAAACAATTCCATTAATTGATTTGAGTGACTGGCCCTGAAACAAGGCTTATTATGGCTCCCAGCGGAGTCGGGGCAGGCAGGATGGCTCGGGAGCCATAGGTATGTGAGACTCCGCTCCCTGGTGGTGACCACAGCTGGGTCCAGTGATAGGAGCTCAGGCCTCCGGTGGCCGGGCCCAGGCAGATGGAGAGAGGCCTGAGATTCCAGGAGGGACTCTACCTGCATCCCTGCTTGTCTCAGACATGCCAGAGGGAAGCTTTTCAGGGATGTGTCCGGAATCAAAGATTCACAGAAGGACAGAGCGTAAGGGGGCCAAGGACCGTGAGTGGGGGTGTTTGCGAATGGGGGCCCAAGATTTAGGACCAGCGCAGTGGGTGGTCATTCTAGGGAAGTGGATTCAGACCCTCTGCCTGAAGGTGGCCAAGGGAGTGACTTTGCTGACACTGGAGCTGGCAGAGAAGGGCCTCTTGAAACCAGCATCACCGCCGGCTTCCTGCCTTGTCGCTTCTCACCTTAACTGGCCAAGCTCTCTGGGGTCCTTTCCCATCTTCTTCATTCTGTTCCTTTACCACTGGAGGCTTTTATGTGTCTTTCCAAAAAGCCTATCAGCTTCAACACTCCCTCAAGCCCTCAAAGGAAATGTCTCCTTTTATGGTTAGTGTTACTGGAAAGAGCATGTGTCTTAATGTCAGACAAGCGTATGTATAGGAGGAATGGGGTGTTGGAGGGAGGAGTTTGCAGAAAAAGGAGAAGTTCTTACTATAGCCTGAGACGCAAGGAGTAAGGCAGGCCTTCCTGAATGATTCATTATCAAGTTACTTTTTCCAGGCTTGAGATTTCACCAGTGGCTGACTATGTGCACGGGAGAGTGAGTGGGTAACATGGGTGAGGTGGGGAGGTAGATGGGTGGATGGATGGATGGATGGATGGATGGATGGATGGATGGATAGATGGATGGACAGGTAGCTGGCTAGATGGATGAATGGAAAAATAAATAGGTAAAAGGCTAGGTGGGTGGTCGCATAGTTAGTTGAATAAATTAGTGTATAGATAGTGTGTGAGCAAATGCATGAGACATGAACATGATAAATGAGGGTATGATGGATGGATGGATGGATGGAGGATAGATGGATGGGTGGATGGATGGGTGGTTGGATGGGTGGGTAGATGGATTGCAGGCATGCACTGAAGTGTAAAGGAACCGTGGTGCCCAGCTCTGGTAGAAGAAGGAGAATTCAGAAAGCAGGAAGGACCTGGATGGAAAAGGAGCTGAGGTGCTGGAGTCACTGAAGGGAGAATAGTACTTAGTCACTGTAACCAGGTGGGTAGAGTATCTGAGGAGTATGTGTACCTGGAAGCTGGTATGATAGGACTTAGATGGGATGATTAAAGGAATAGTTAGAATTGATTATCTGAAAAAACAATCATTGGGAACAGAAATAGCTTGTGTGAGTATGTGTGTAAGAGAGTGTATCAATTATCTATAGCTGTGTAACAAATGACCCAAAAGTTAGTGTCTTAGAACAACATGTATGATCTCACAGTCTGTGGGTCAGGGTTCAGCACAGCTTGATTGGGTCCTCTTGATTGGTTGTCTCATGAGCTACATTCAAGGTGTTGGCTAACACTGCTCCACTTCCAAGCTCCCCCACGCGGCTGTTGGCGGGATTTAGTTCCTCCTCGGCTGTTCTCCACTGACCATTAACTGGAGGCTGTCCTTCGTTCCTGGCCATGTGGGCCTCTCCATGGGGTGACTCACAGCATGGCAACGGCTTCCATCAGGCAGCAAGCAAGAGTGCAAGCAAGATGATAGTTCAGTCTCACTAACCTAATTTCTGAGCGACATCCCATAGCTATGGGGTTGGGGTGGGGGCGGTGTCAAAGTAAGCCTGTGCATCCAGCACCCATGAAGGAGTAGGGGATTACACAAGGACATGAGTCCCTCAATGGAGATCACTGGAGCCATTTAGAAACTTCCTGCCACAGAGAACCTGAGCAGGAAAAGCAGCACAGTGGAAAGGACCTGAGGGATAA